CGGCGACGCCGCGGCCCGCGCGCGACGACTTGTTGCGGTCGCCGCCGGAGCTGCCGGGCGGCTTCCGCCTCGACGGCGACGACCGGGGTTTGGGGTCGCCGCCGCCGCGGCGGCGGCGCCGCGCGAGCTCCGAGGCCGAGCGGCCCCTCGACGGCGAGCTCGCGGCGGCGCTCTTCGGCAAGCTCCAGGAGCACTCGTCGAGCGGCGCCGTGGACCTGGCGACCGTCGTCGACTGCTTCTCCGGCGAAAGATTGCGGGACCGGCCGCGACTCGAGGCGCCGGTGCGCGGCGTATGGGTGTCGACGCTCCACTGCCGGCGCCTGTTCGCCGTGTTGGACGCGAACCGGAGCGGCGTCGCGCACCGCGAGGCCTTCGAGGCCGTCTTCCGGTGCTGCTGCGGCCCCGTGACGCGGTCGTCCGAGGCGCGCGAGGCGGACCTGTGCGCGCGCGTGGGCGTGCGCGCGGGCGTGCTCCGGGCCTGCGTCGAGGACGCGCTCTACGTGCGCCTGGGCGTCGCGCGGCCCGCGGACGGCGCCGCGGAGCTGAGGGTCGTGTCGCCCTACGTGTCGCTCACGCTGTCCGCGGAGACGTGCGTGCCGGGGGACACGTGGGTCGTGCTGCCCAAGGGCTGGCTCGTGGGCTGGAACCGCTGGGCCGAGGAGCGCGCCGCGCGCGACGCGGGCGTCGACGGCGCGGCCCAGGCGGGCGCGCCGGGCCCGCCGGACTGCGCGTCCCCGCGGCCGGCGCCCATCGACGCGTCCTACTTATTGCGCGCGCGCGACGTCTGCAGCCAGCCCCGCGACGACGTCGTGCTCTGCGACCAGGACGGCCGCCAGGACGACGGCGGCGCGGGCGCGCTGCTCCGGGCGCTGCGGCGCGACGTCGCCTACGACGAGGACTTTGTGTTCGTGCCGCCGCAGCTCTACCTGGCGCTGCGGCGCTGGCACGGCGAGCGGGGCGCGCCCGTGGCGCGGCGCGTCGCCGTCGACGAGCGGGGGCGGCCGTCCTTCGAGGCGCACGCGGCGCGGTGCCTGGCGCGGCGCGCGGCGGACCGCGCGGTGGTGGTGCCCGTGCTGCGGCACGAGCCTGTGCACGTCGTCGCGGCGCGCGCGCACCGGGCGCTGGAGCTCCACGCGGGCCGGGGCCCCCTGCTGCGGAGCGGCAGCCCGCCGCGGCGGTTAAGAGTGCGCGCGGTGCGGCGCGACGCGGCGCCGGAGCCTCGCCAGCCGCCGTCCGAGGCCGCGACGGTCGTCGGCGAGCCGCGGCTCCAGCCGCTCTACGACGGCCCGCCCTTCTCCGCCATGTACGGCGGCTCGCGGGGGCGCCACGCCGACGCCTGGACGCGGCCCTGCTCCTGTCTGATGCAGGGCAGGACAAGAGAGCGAAATTCCCAACTTCAAAGGCTCCGATCTCGGCCGTTTTCCACTCGTTTCGGCTGATTTTTGGACGAGCGATCATCTCTCGGGACGGTCTCGAAGCGTGGATGTGTTTTTCGTAACGCGCGCGCGCGGAATACCCACGTTGAAGCGACGTTGAATCACCCTTTTCCTGCCCAGGCCTCATGGACGCGTCGCAGCCGGGCGACGGCGACGAGGCGCCGGTCGACGTCACCATCGAATTGCTCTTTGATGATGGTGGTGATGAGCCCGAGGATGGTGGTGAAACACACACAGAGGTCGCGGCGCCCGCGCGGCCCGTCGGGGGGCTGCGGCCGGATCTGGACGGCGACGCGCGCGTCGGCGAGGTCGGCCTGCGGAATCTCGGCAACACGTGCTACATGAACTCGGTGTTGCAAGCTTTAGCGCACGTGCCGCCGCTGCGGGCCTACTTCGCGTCCGGCGAGTTCCGCTACGACATCAACACGCGGTCGAAGTTCGGCGCGCGGGGCGCGCTCGCGACCGCGTTCGGCGAACTCCTCGGCGAGCTCGACGAGTCCGAGGAAGCGGTGACGCCGGACACCTTCAAGCGGACGCTGGGCGACTGGAACGACACCTTCGCGGGCTTCGGCCAGCAGGACGCGTCGGAGTTCCTCCAGCAGCTCCTGGAAGGTCTGGGCGAGGACCTGAACCGCGTCGAGGACAAGCCGTACGTGGAAAATCCGGACGTCGCGGGCGACGCGGAGAGCCCCTTCCCGGCGGACCCGCGCGTCCAGGTCGACGTCGCCGCCGAGTGCTGGCGGAACCACGCCGAGCTGCGCGAGGACCACCCCGTGACGGCGCTCTTCGGGGGGCAGACGCGGCGCGAGCTCGTCTGCGACGCGAACGACGTCGAAAAGTCCGTGGCTGTGTGGAATTCAAATCTTCAACCCGACTTCAATGTGCGCCTATGCGACAGTTTCGACGCAAGCTCTTCAGCTGTGCTTCGAGAACTCGACGAGAGCAATCGATTCATCCAAAAATCAACCAAATCGACTTCGATTTGATCGAGCTAGAGAATTTCAAAGTTTGGTCAGGACCACCCAAACCAGCGGTTGAATTCCACACAGGTCCGTGGGCTTCGACGCGTTCTCGTCGCTGGCCGTGCCCCTCTTCGACGCCGACTCGGCGGCGCGCGGCGAGGAGACGGTCCGCGTGCGCGTGCGGTTGCGCTTCGCGCGCCAGCGCTG